CCGTTCAAGAAAGTACAAGTTATTGTTTTATGGTATCCCAAAGTCTGATCAAGAAAACATTTCCGAGACTAATCTTGGGTGCTTGAAACACAACTTGAAAATCACATATAAGAAGATATCAAGGCCATTGTAATAAAAAATTCACACATAATTCCAAAAAATCCATTAAATACCTACAAGCTAGATGCACCAGAGGCAATTGCAGTGAAGTTTGTAAGAATGGCTGACCGCGCAATGTTATTCTTCATCACACAAGAAAATTTTGTTATACTATGTCCAAGATATAAAAATGATCATAAAATAACTGCAAAAAGTATAGTACAAAGCCGTTGCACTCGGTGCATTCAAAAATGAGAATGTTTCAGTTCCATGGAGGAGTGAGCACCCCCTGCTGACCGGTCACACCCGCTGTGTGCTCTTTGTCATGATCGGGAAATAACGGGAAAATCCGTCGTCAATTCAGTGTTTAGAATGAAAAACGTCAGTCAGAATTTGACTCCATAATAAATTGTGTTTACTGACAAGGTCAATGTATCGGCTATAGAACTTAAGAAATGATGACTTCAATCCAAACTGTTGATATTCTTGTTTCATCAACTTGCTTGTCAATAATGTACCTCGTTTTAGAAATTATTCATACGTAGAGCATGCTCTTGCGTATCGAATCAACTGAGATATATATACTCCGTATGCAGATGATGAAGGTATATTGCTGCACAAGTAAGGGAAGTTGACGATAGAAAAGTTTAAGTCATCCGTTTATCATATAGCTTGGTTGCTATATTACCCTTAACGTCTTTTTCAAGTAAAATATCTAAGTATGAAACAGATGTGTCAGACTTTGTGGTAAGGTGTAAGGGGAGTGGCTCTATTGATTATACACATGTATAATGAAAATGCATAAATTCTTCAAAAATCTTTTTCTCTGCTTCTCGGTATTAAACCAATGAACTATGTACAAAAATATTATGAGGAAAGATGCATCTTCCAAAATTGTGAATTTCATGGCCCCTGGGTCAGGGTTTAAACTTTCTGGTGTTAGGGTGGGGCTCTGTTGATTATATTGTGAAAATGCATGAATTCTTTGAATATCTTTTCCTTTGCTCCTGGGTATTATGCCACAGATCTAAGTAAATATATTTATGACGAAGAAAGATGCATCTAGCAAAATGGTCAATTTCGGGCCCCTAGGTCAGGGGTACAGGGGTGAGGTACATAGTCTGAAAACAGATTAATGCTTTGAAATCTGCTCTTTGGTATTAATCAAGCATTTTATGATTAAATTTCCAAAATTTTGAAATATATAGTCCAAGGGTCAGTGGTTCCTTTGGGGTGAGGTGCACAACTACTTATAAAGTAGAAATGCATTTTTTCTTTGTTACTCTGATCTACTCTGGGTATTAAGTAACTAAAGTAAGCATGCTAAGTGTATAATTATGATAAGCAATGGTACCCCTTTCAAAATTGTTAAATTCATGGCCTGTGGCTTAAAACGCGAACCAAATTCAATTGTTAGAAAGTTGTTCTGATACTCAGATGACCTATAAGGCCCATGGGTCTTTTGTTTTCCTCTGCTTTCAATTGGATGATCAAAAAGTCACATTGTAATGTTACCACACCCGATCAATCCGGAAATCTTATGTCCATCTTTATTTACTTTCATTTTTGTTTGTATAACGGCATTTCCGGAAGTCTGCACGAGGTCCGTGCACTCAAATTTATCAACGAAACTTCTTGTTATATAGCGGCAACCATGTAAGTTTTATAATTGAAATTGTCTGAATATTAGATTATTTTGTTTGCAGTTTACTATGCAATCATTTTATTGTGCATGTCATAAGTATTTTTGTTTATGCTGTACTTGCAACTCGCAGTCGATGCTATTTTTAGATTTAAAATCCACAAGCTGTTAGAAAGTCAGTTTAAAGTTAAATTTTACAAAATTTTGTATGATATTTGAGTAGAACAAGTTGATAATGTGTTGCTTAACTATTGATGGTGTATAAGAATTTACAGTAGAATCTCAAATATAAGTTTTAAATGTCAGAATTAATTTGTGTAATGTTTACCTATGAATCTACACCAGTTTCTTGGAATTTTTGATTTATATTACCTGAAGTTGTGATCCTACATGAATTATTTTGTATTTTTATTTTGTGTAGCTTTCACAGAATGTCTCACAAGAGAACCATATATGATGTCTGCTCCAGACCCTTGAATTTGAATAAAATCTGAATTGAACCTTTGAGGCATTTTGTTAACTGAAACAAAACAGTGAAAGATGGCTTCTTCAACTCGGACAACATCTTCCAGATCACGAGCAAGTACGGCTAAGTCGGACCTGTATCTACAACAAAAAATTAAAAAAGAAACCGCAAAAAAGAAAATTGAATATGTCCAGAAGGAAAGCGAACTTGTATGTCAGAGGGCCAAAATAGAAGCTGATGCCCTGATCCAAAAGGCTAAAATAGAGACACAGTTAATGCGAATAAAAGCAGAAGAGGACTCGGAAGTCGCAGAAATTAGTATGAAGATTCTTGAGGAGGAGCTTCAAGATATATGCAATTGTTCTGATAACGGAAGTGAATTTGGTGACTGGATTGCATCACACACGAAGCGTTATGTAGAAAACTCACACATAGAAGCAGATAGACTTTTGACACCAGAACCGGCTATACCTCCAATTAGAACGCCATTCGTTGGAACAAGACCTGAATTTCCGAACACGGTTACACCACCACCTTCCCCAACGACACCTGCTGCCCCACCAGACAGCATACTGAACCCTTGTGCTCGACTCTTTGTTCCTGAGAATTTTGTGTCACAATCGAGTGCGTGTGAGCCGAACAAGCAAAGCGGAATCAACCAGGCTCTTATGGATATGACAAACTTTTGACCAAGAAAAGCTTCATATTGGAAAGAGTTAAACCATTCGTTGGTGACTCGGAGTCTTACCTAGCATGGAAATCTACATTCCAGGAAGTCATGAAGGATTGATGCATCCCCATCTATTGAACTGGACTTAATGATAAAAAATCTTGAAGGAAAACCATATGAGCAAGTGAAGAGCATAAAGAACTCAAATACCGGTGACTCTACTTTGGGAGTACAGAAAGCGTGGGAAAGATTGGATTCGTTTTACGGCAGCCCAGATCGTATTGCGAGAGCTTTGAAGAGAAAGTTAAGTGATGTTTTGGAGAAATTTGACTTCAACAACAGGCCTGACTACTTTTGTCTCTCAGACACACTGAATGAAATAAATGCTGTCAAAGACAATCCCAAGTACAGTAAGACATTGAGTTATTTTGACACATCAGATGGAGTCAAACCGGTGTTACTCAAACTTCCCATACATGTCCAGAACAAGTGGCGTGACAAGGCAATACAATACAAGAAAAACAATGATGTAGTGTATCCACCGTTTTGTGTATTTTGTACCTTCGTCCAAGAAATGGCCTATGTGATGAATGACCCAGGATTTGACTTTGAATTTAAACCGATTCACTTAGCACCGAAGGTAAAATCGAACAAACAATTTCACAGACAGACTGTTACTTCCAACAAAACAGATGTGTTACAAGACGAGAGTCAGGCAAAAGTGCATTGTGCTGTCCACAATTCTGCACACTCCACGAGTGACTGCAATGTTTTCCGCACAAAGAGTATCGGTGAAAAGAGGGACATCTTAAGGAAACATGGTCAGTGTTTTAAGTGTTGTGATGGCAAACATTTGTCTAATGACTGCCGTGTGAAAGTGAAATGTGACACTTGTGGTAGCAGACATCATTGCACTGCCATGCATTTTGACACATCAAACAGACCCGCCCAGAATCATGGCGGGGAGAAACTAGCCAGTGAAAAACCAGCTTTTCATCGTCAGACGGCTGAGACGACCACACACTTAAACGCAGCATGTACAGAAATTTGTGGGGATTTCAGAGGCAAATCATGTGCTAAGATTGTACTGGTCAGCATTCACCATAAGCACAGCGAACACCCACCAGTTAATGTGTACGCCATTCTTGACGAGCAGAGTAACAAGTCACTGGCAAAACCTGAACTTTTTGAAATGTTTGACCCAAACAGTACTTGTGAATCTTACAAACTCTCTACTTGCAGCGGATCATCTTTAGTCAGTGGCAGACGCTCTCATGGCTTTGTGATTAACTCGATGGACAGACAAACTACTTTCAGTTTACCTACCTTAATTGAATGTAGTGCAATACCGAACAATCGTCACGAAATCCCAACTAGTGATGTAGCCATTCATCACCCTCATCTTGCTGAGATATCGAGCTTTATTCCACCTATGGACCATACGGCAAATATATCACTACTGATTGGCAGGGATCTCTTGGGCGCACATTATGTCTTGACCAGATAAGAGGTGATCCCTCTCAACCATATGCTCAACGGCTACCATTAGGCTGGGTTGTCATAGGAGAGACGTGCTTAGATGGAATCCATACACCGAAATCTGTTGATGTTATGAAAACCATGTGCTCGAATTCCGAACAACCATCTCAAGGCATCTGGATACCATGTGACCAAAAGATGCACATTACAGAATGTATTGAAAACCAGTCAGTGTTTAGAAGAACCACAACAGACAATCAACCATCATTGTCAGTTGAGGACCGCTTATTCTTGACTCAGATGGTCAGTGATATGAAAAAGGACTCTTCGGGGCATTGGAGTGCTCCATTACCCTTTAAGAGGACACGACCTACTTTACCAAACAACCGACAACAAGCTTTGGATCGAGCAGTCAGCCTTGACAAGAGTTTGATGAAGAACCCTCTAAAGAAAGCTCATTTTCTTGAATTCATGAGGAACCTTTTTGAAGCCGGTCACATCGAATTGGCACCACAGCTCCCACCAAACACTGAGTGCTGGTACTTACCTTTGTTTGGGGTCTACCACCCCCAGAAGAGAGACAAAATCCGTGGAGTTTTCGACTCTTCTGCAAGTGCGACGGAGTATCACTCAACGATGTCCTAATGCCTGGACCAGATTTAATGAACAATCTTATTGGTGTGTTGCTAAGATTCAGGAGAGAATCTGTAGCAATAGTTGCAGACATCGAACAGATGTTTTACAGTTTCTTAGTGGATATTGAACACAGACGTTACTTGAGATTCATTTGGCACAAAGACAATAACTTTGAAGAACCTTTGGTTGACTACCAAATGAAAGTACACGTTTTTGGTAATAGTCCCTCCCCTGCGGTGGCGACCTATGGATTACGTCGTACGGCCGACGAAGCAGAGGAACAATATGGCTCGGACATGAAGGAATTCGTGCATCGCAATTTCTACGTGGATGATGCTCTTTCCTCTCATTCATCTGCAGAGGACGCAATTGACCTACTTAAGCGCACACAGAAGGCTTTGATGGAACATGGCTGCTTGAGACTACATAAGATAGCATCCAATTCTGGTGAGGTTTTAGCAGCCTTCAGTTCTCAGGATCTGGCAAAGGACCTGAAAGACACAGAACTCTGGGCAGATGACCTACCAACACAGAGAAGTTTAGGCATCTGTTGGAACCTTCAACATGACTACTTCACATTCAAAGTAAACATGGAGGACAAACCATTCACAAGACGTGGCGTCCTTTCCTCCATCAACAGTCTCTTTGATCCACTTGGTTTTGTTGCGCCAGTGACGATTGCTGGAAAGGCTATTCTACGTGAAGCCATGACAAGTGGATTAGACTGGGATGAACCTTTGCCACCTGACTTTCTCCAGAAGTGGACCGTTTGGAAATCATCATTGAAGGACTTAGAACATTTGCAGATTCCACGTACCTTTAGTGAGATGTCTGTTAGTAAAGCAAATTACAAGGAATTACTGATATTCTTGGACGCTTCCACTATGGCCATTGCAGCTGTCGCGTTCCTTAGACAAGTTTCTGACACAGGGAAGGAACAGCTTGGGTTCATCATGGGGAAAGCTAAACTGGCACCTAAGCATGGTCACACTGTGCCGAGACTGGAATTGTGCGCGGCTGTCATGGCAGCTGAACTATATGAACTTATCGCTGCAGAGATTGACACCAACCTTGACTCAGTTAGATTTTTTACAGACAGTAAAGTAGTTTTGGGCTATATAAGAAATGAAACCAAACGTTTTTTCACCTATGTGGCCAATCGTGTTGAAAGAATACGCAAATCAAGTGAACCTAAGGACTGGAATTACATTCCGACAAAAATGAATCCAGCAGACGAAGGCACGCGATCTGTAGCAGCGAAGGAGATGCAAGCCAGCCTCTGGTTGAATGGTCTGAGTAAACTTCTTGATAGCAGTGAAAATGAACATTATGACCTTGACATTGATTGCGATCCAGAGGTCAGATCATGTAAGACAGAATTACAGAGCATTTGTCGTCTAGGCTCCCATCGCTTTGAAAGGTTTTCCGATTGGCTGCGACTGACCAGAGCTATTTGCTTCATACAGAACATGATACGCAAGTGGAAACAGTCAAAATATGATGAAGATGAAGATCAAGAACCGCTTACCTTGAAAGAAGCTGAACTTCTTATCATCCGTGAGATTCAGGATGAGAAATTTCCTGAAGAAATCGAAGCTCTCAAGGCATGCAGAATAGTAAACAAGAGTAGTCCAATTTTCAATCTGGACCCATATTTGGACGAAGATGATTTACTTAGAGTGGGAGGCAGACTTCGTCACTCCAACTTGACCTCTCAAGAGAAGAATCCACTTATTGTTCCGAAAAAGAGCCACATTGCCAATTTGCTTGTGGACAACTTTCACAGAGAAGTGAAACATCAAGGACGCTTATTCACGGAAGGGGCAATAAGAAGCGCAGGGTTTTGGATCGTAGGGTGTCGCCGTCTTGTGAACTCTCATATACAGAAGTGTGTATCATGTAGAAAGCTGCGAGGCAAACAACAACATCCAAAAATGGCTGACCTTTTTGAGGCACATCTTCATCCGGCACCCCCCTTTACACATATTGGAGTGGATGTGTTTGGACCTTGGTCCATTGTTAACAGAAAGACACGAGGAGGTCAAGCTCAAGCTAAGAGATGGGCAGTGATTTTTACCTGTTTGGTCATTCACGCAATCCATATCGAGGTAATTGAGGAATTGAGCACCTCTAGCTTCATCAACGCTTTACGTCGTCTTACAGCCCTTAGAGGTGAAGTGCGCACAATTTGCTCCGATCGTGGTACAAACTTTATTGGACCCACTTCAGAAATGAACGTCAACATGATTGACATTAAAGATGCACCGCTAAAGGATTTCATGGAAAGGAGAGGAATTCAGTGGAAGTGTAACCCCCCACATGCCTCACACATGGGTGGGGCCTGGGAGCGGCTGATAGGCGTCTCGAGGAAGATTTTGGATTCTCTACTGACAGATCCAAAAGTGACAAGACTCTCTCATGAAGTATTAGTGACCTTGATGGCAGAGGTGTGCTCTATCATCAATGCACGCCCTCTGAGTGGGGTCACATATGACCCAGATTTACCCTATCCTTTGTCCCCTGCAACATTACTCACCTTGAAAACAAGACACACAGTGGATTCTTTTGACCTGGAAGAGTTTTCAACAAAGGATTTGATGAAGGATCAGTGGCGCTGTGTACAACAGCTTTCGAATTGTTTCTGGAAACGGTGGAACATGGAGTATCTGTCTTTACTCCAACAGCGGAAGAAATGGCAACAAGACGAAAGAAATCTTCAAGTCGGTGATGTCGTCCTTCTTCGTGACAAGACACTTCATCGCAATGACTGGCCAATGGGAATTGTTGAGAACACTTACCCTAGTGATGATGCGCGTGTCCGTAAAATAGAAGTTCGCATTGGCATGGACAGAAAAATTTTCAAACGCCCAGCGACAGAAGTTGTGCTTCCCGTACAAAACAAACGGTAGTGTGAACGTGTCGTGAGAGAACATTTGATGAAAATGTTTGTGAAGCACAGTGAACTGTATATTTTATTGTGTATTATTGTTATTTTGAATACTGATATTTGGTAGAGTTACCTCATTTTAGTTTGTTTAGTTTAAATATTGGTGATATTATCATATCAGAAGGGGAGTGTAATGTTACCACACCCGATCAATCCGGAAATCTTATGTCCATCTTTACTTTCATTTTTGTTTGTATAACGGCATTTCCGGAAGTCTGCACGAGGTTCGTGCACTCAAATTTATCAACGAAACTTCTTGTTATATAGCGGCAACCATGTAAGTTTTATAATTGAAATTGTCTGAATATTAGATTATTTTGTTTGCAGTTTACTATGCAATCATTTTATTGTGCATGTCATAAGTATTTTTGTTTATGCTGTACTTGCAACTCGCAGTCGATGCTATTTTTAGATTTAAAATCCACAAGCTGTTAGAAAGTCAGTTTAAAGTTAAATTTTACAAAATTTTGTATGATATTTGAGTAGAACAAGTTGATAATGTGTTGCTTAACTATTGATGGTGTATAAGAATTTACAGTAGAATCTCAAATATAAGTTTTAAATGTCAGAATTAATTTGTGTAATGTTTACCTATGAATCTACACCAGTTTCTTGGAATTTTTGATTTATATTACCTGAAGTTGTGATCCTACATGAATTATTTTGTATTTTTATTTTGTGTAGCTTTCACAGAATGTCTCACAAGAGAACCATATATGATGTCTGCTCCAGACCCTTGAATTTGAATAAAATCTGAATTGAACCTTTGAGGCATTTTGTTAACTGAAACTAAACACACATGCTTTCGGTGTTTACAGTAATGGAAAACAAAGTTAAGATCTACGTATGTGAGATTTGAAAAATTAGAAAAATGTATTATTGATATAATAGCTAGTTTAAATGGTGTGGGATTAAAACAGGACCCCTTTTCATTTTTAGCTCTACTGGTCAGAGACCAGAAGAGCTTATGCGATAGTAATGCGTCCGGCGTCCGTCCGTCTGTCCGTCTGTCTGTCTGTAAACAATTTTTCAAAACGCTACTCCTCCTACAGTTTTGGTCTGATTTCAATATAAATTGGCAAACAAGTAGACTACACTAAGATACATAATTCTGTGTATCGGTTTTTGATTTTGATGAACGGTGTTGCCGTTGTTACTAAAAATAGCAATTTCTGCGAAATACTTTTAAAATGCTACTCCTCCTACAGTTTTGGTCTGATTTCAACACAACTTTGCACACAAGTAGACTACACTAAGATACATAATTCTGTGTATCGGTTTTTGATTTCAATGAACAGTGTTGCCGTTGTTACTAACAAGAAGTCTCTGTCGAGACTGTAGCTCTACTGGTTTATACTGATCAAAAACCGATGCACAGAATTATGTATCTTAGTGTAGTCTACTTGTGTGATAAGTTATATTGAAATCAGACCAAAACTGTAGAAGGAGTAGCATTTTAAAGGAATTCCATAGAAAATTCTACTTTTAGTAACCATGGCAACACCGTTCATTGAAATCAAAAACCGATGCACTATTACATGTAAATTTGTGTAGTTTACTTGTGTGCCAAGTGATAATAAAATCAGACCAAAACTGTAGAAGGAGTACCATTTTAAAGGAATTTCTCAGAAAATTTTATTTTTAGTAACCATTGCAACACCCTAATCGAAATCAAAAACCGATGCACCATTTTATGTATCTTAGTGTAGTCTACTTGTGTGCCAAGTGATATTGAAATGAGACTAAAACTGTAGAAGGAGTAGCGTTTTAAAGGAATTTCACAGAAAGTTCTATTTTTAGTAACCATGGCAACATCTTTCATCGAAATCAAAAACCGATGCACTATTTTATGTATCTTAGTGTAGTCTACTTGTGTGCCATGTGATATTGAAATCAGACCAAAACTGTAGAAGGAGTAGCGTTTTAAAGGAATTTCACAGAAAATTCTATTTTTAGTAACCATGGCAACATCGTTCATCGAAATCAAAAACCGATGCACTATTTTATGTATCTTAGTGTAGTCTACTTGTGTGCCAAGTAATATTGAAATCAGACCAAAACTGTAGAAGGAGTAGCGTTTTAAAGGAATTTTTCAGAAAATTCTATTTTTAGTAACCATGGCAACACCGTTCATCGAAATCAAAAACCGATGCACTATTTTATGTATCTTAGTGTAGTCTACTTGTGTGCCAAGTTATATTGAAATTAGACTAAAATTGTAGGAGGAGTAGCGTTTTGAAAAATTGTTTACAGACAGACAGACAGACAGACGGACGGACGCCGGACGCATTACTATCGCATAAGCTCTTCTGGTCTCTGACCAGTAGAGCTAAAAATAGCAATTTCTGCGAAATACTTTTAAAATGCTACTCCTCCTACAGTTTTGGTCTGATTTCAATATAACTTTGCACACAAGTAGACTACACTAAGATACATAACATAATTCTGTGTATCGGTTTTTGATTTCGATGAACGGTATTGCCGTTGTTACTAAAAATAGCAATTTCTGCGAAATACTTTTAAAATGCTACTCCTCCTACAGTTTTGGTCTGATTTCAACACAACTTTGCACACAAGTAGACTACACTAAGATACATAATTCTGTGTATCGGTTTTTGATTTCAATGAACAGTATTGCCGTTGTTACTAAAAATAGCAATTTCTGCGAAATACTTTTAAAATGCTACTCCTCCTACAGTTTTGGTCTGATTTCAACACAACTTTGCACACAAGTAGACTACACTAAGATACATAATTCTGTATATCGGTTTTTGATTTCGATGAACGGTATTGCCGTTGTTACTAAAAATAGCAATTTCTGCGAAATACTTTTAAAATGCTACTCCTCCTACAGTTTTGGTCTGATTTCAACACAACTTTGCACACAAGTAGACTACACTAAGATACATAATTCTGTGTATCGGTTTTTGATTTCGATGTACAGTATTGCAGTTGTTACTAAAAATAGAAATTTCTATGAAATGCTTTCAAAATGCTACTTCTCCTACAGTTTTGGTCTGCTTTCAATATAACTTGGCACACAAGTAGACTACTTTAAGATACATAATTCTGTATATCGGTTTTTGATTTGATGAACGGTGTTGCTGTTGTTACTAAAAATAGAAATTTCTGTGAAATACTTTTAAAATGCTACTCCTCCTACAGTTTTGGTCTGATTTCAATATAAATTTGCACACAAGTAGACTACACTAAGATACATAATTCTGTATATCGATTTTTGATTTGATGAACGGTGTTGCCGTTGTTTCTAAAAATAGAAATTTCAATAAAATGCTACTCCTCCTACAGTTTTGATCTGATTTCAACACAACTTGGCACAAATGTAGACTACTCTTAAATACAAAAATTTATTTATCGGTTTTTGATTTTGATGAACGGTGTTGCCGTGGTTACTAAAAATAGAAATTTCTTTGAAATACTTTAAAATGCTACTTTTCTCTTCCTCTGTTATAAGTACAAACCAGTAGAGCTACAGTCTCAACAGAGACTTCTGGTTCAAATTGGAAAAAGCGCTATTACAGCCTATGTAATTCTAAACTACTAGCACGGATTTCTTTTAAGTCGTCCTGTACATGTACTGTGTCAGAAATTTCCCGCTCTTGCTTATAAAGCATGCATTGCTTTAAACTACATAGCGAAAGGTTGTCATAAAAGGGTGTCAACTCCTCAGTAAGGAACAATGAGTCTAAAATTATTATTAAATTGGTTGTGTATTTCTACATACTGTTATTGTGATAAGAAACGTTTATTTAACAAGAGGCCAGTGGGCTTTATATGTCACTTGAGTATCATGCGACAACTTTCCAACAATTGAATTTGATTCATGTTTTAAACCAGAGGCCATGTAATTCACAATTTTGAAAGAGGCACCATTTCTTATCATATCTATACACTGCATGCTTACTCTGGCTACTTAATACCCAGAGGTAGATCAGAGTAACAAAGAGAAAATGCATTTCCACTTTTTGTGTATGTCAGGGCTTCTTGTGTTAGGGCGGGTCCACAGTTGTGCATCCCATCCCCTAGGAACCACTGTCCCTGAGGCCACATCTTTCAAAATGTTGGAAATTTTATAAACTTTATTTCATCATGTTGATTAATACCAAAGTGCATATTTCAAAGCATTAAATTATTTTGAGACTATGGTACCCCCCCCATCCCCAAAGTACCTCTGTCCCAGGGGCCAGAAAATAAACCATCTTTGTCATAAATATATACTAAGATCATTGGCATAATACCCAGGAACAAAGGAAAAGATTTTCAAAGAATTCATGCATTTTCACTATATAAACATTAGAGCCCCGCCCTAACACAAGAAGCCTTAAACCAGGGGCCCTGAAATTCAAAAATCTCAAAGAGGCATCCTTCCTCCTCATAACTATGTACATAGTTTATTGGTTAAATACGCAGGTGCAGAAAAGATTTTCAAAGAATTTATGCATTTTCACTATATAATATATATAGTCCCGCCCTAGCACTAGAACCCCTAACCTTGGGGTCATGAAATTCACAATTTTGGAAGAGGATCCTACCTTCTCTGGTTTCTGACTAGATGGAATATTCAAAGTACATTTGTTGATATGTCATTTATATTTAGAAGCAAGAGATTTAAAAGACCATATTTTTCTTTCCTTATCACAATTATACAACTTTAAATAGAAATGGTTAATTGCGTTTGAAAACTAGCAGGGACTATATTTTTGGCGGAATGGTGGCGTATGAAAATATCTTCTTCTCTGCCTCTCAAAATTATTATAGAACATTGAATTTAGTTATAATTTTTACGCAATCAAAGACTAGACGAAATTTTCAAATGTAAGTTAAATTAATTATAAAGTTTCAAAATATATTAAATAAAGAAGATTTTTCACACATACTAGAACTATCTTGGCTTTGGATTCTTCAAATCTGAGTACAGATTTGAGCCAAAAATATCCATTA